TTGAAGCAGAGAGGTTTTGTGAAGCAAACAGTTGCTTTAGCATAATTATCTCCATGTTGGTTTTGATTCTCACTGTTCTCTTGCTCTTTCCCTGTTTGCTACCTCCTAAAACGTGGGGGGGGGGGGGTACAGGTGTAGGCACTGTAAATAGGTGTTATAGGGACATATTAAGCATTAGAAAGCATGAGCCTTGCTTCCCAGGAACTAATTATCCTGTGTGGGGAAAATATTTATACAGAGCTAGCACATATATTACATTGTATTTGTATTATAGCTCTTACTGTAATAGACAATAAGAATGATAGTTCAGAGAAGGGAGAGATTTTTCTCAGATAAGGGATTAGGAATGACATGCTTTTCAACCTCATTTTGACCCCTTTCTAATGGCATGGGCCTTTCCATTGTGCATAATGATTATTTCAAACCTTTACATTTACCTCATGCTCACTATGCCTGCAAGTATCCCACTTGCTTTCAGCAGATGACCTTGTTTTCCTACTGCATGTAGGCTTTAGAGGCTAAGAAGTCTGAATTCACTCCTTTTCATCATCTCACCTTACCTGCCAGCTTGTTTTTATCTTTAAGCTCTTTTTAATGTCATTTTTAAGCATTTAGTTTTCTTTTCCTGTCCAAAGTAGAGAGGTATAATATAAAGAACTGAAGCCCTGGCCAGTTTAGCTCAGTGGTTGAGCGTCGGCCTGTGGACCAGAGAGTCCCGGGTTCGGTTCCCACTAGGGGCCCGTACCACAAAAAACAAAAAACTGTGGATTTTTTTCAGAAAAACCTGCATTTCAGTTTTGACTTTGTAACTTACTAGCTGTTGAACCTTGGGCAAAAGAAAAAAATTTAAATAACAAAATTTATTGTCTCACAATTCTAGAGGCTAGAAGTCCAAAATCAGGGTGTCAGCAGGGTTTATTCCTCGATATAGTGGTCTTCCTCCTATATCTCTTTTTTTAAACTTATCTTTATTTTTTAATGTATTACAGATGTCTCTCCCTCCCCCACCCCCTCCTCCCCAGTCCTGCCCCCCCTCCTGCTTTCCACACACTATTGTCTATGTCTGTTGGTTATGCATATAAGTTCTTTGGTTTCTCTCTTCCCGTTTTTCACCCATCTCCACTCCCATCTGGCAACCAACAAAAAGTTATCTGTATCTATGAGTCTGTTTCTGTTCATGCTCATTTGTTTGTAGATTCGATTGTTGATAGATATGTATTTATTGTCATTTTATTGTTCAGATATTTTTCTTTAGTGATTTTAGAGAGAGAGGAAGGGGGAGAGAGAGAGAAACATCGATGGGAGAGAACATCGACTGGCCGCCTCCTGCATGTTCCCCACTGGGGATTTGGCCCACAACCTGGGCATGTGCCTTGACCAGGAATCAAACTGGCAACCTCCTGGTGCATGGGTCAACACTCAACCATTAAGCCACGCTGGCTGGGCTGTTCAGATATTTTTATCTTCTTTTTCAAAAAGACCCTCCAACATTTCATATAATAATGGTTTGGTGGTGATGAACTCCTTTAGCTTTTTCTTGTCTGGGAAACTCTTTATATGTCTATCAATTCTAAATGATAGCTTTGCAGGGTAGAGTAATCTTGGTTAAAGGTCCTTGCTTTCCATCACTTTAAATATTTCTTGGCACTCCCTCCTGGCCTGCAAAGTTTCTTTTGAGAAATCAGCTAACAGCCTTATGGGAGCTCTGTTGTAGGTAACTAACTGCTTTTCTCTTGCTGCTTTTAAGATTCTCTCTTTGTCTTGAACCTTTTGCATTTTGATGATGATGTGTCTTGGTGTGGGCCTCTTGGGGTTCATTTGGTTTGGTACTCTCTGTACTTCCTGGGCTTGTATGTCTGTTTCCTTCACCAAGTTAGGGAAATTTTCTGTCATTATTTTTTTCAAATAGGTTTTCAATTTCTTGCTCTCTCTCTTCTCCTTCTCGCACCCCCATGATGTGAATGTTGGTACGCTTGAAGTTGTCCCATAGGCTCCTTATACTACCCTCATTTTTTTGGATGCATTTTTCTTTTTGGGTATTTTGTTTGTTTGTTTGTTTGTTTGTTTGTTTTGCTTCCTTATATTCCAAATCGATGGTTTGCTTCTTGGATTCACCTACTCTACTATTGATTCCCTGTAAATTATTCTTTATTTCAGTTAGCGCATCCTTCATTTCTGACTGGTCCTTTATTATGCTCTTGAGGCCCTCACTAAGTTCCTTCAGCATCCTTATAAGCAGTGTTTTGAACTCTGCCTATGTTAGATTGCTTATCTCCATTTTGTTTAGTTATTTTCCTGGAGTTTTGTTCCGTTCTTTCATTAGGAACATGTTTCTTTGTCTCATCATTTTGGCTGCCTCCCTGTGTTCTTTTCTATGCATTAGCTAGAGTTGCTATGTCTCCTTGCTTCCTAGGGTGGCCTGTTGTAGTAGGTGTCCTGTAGGTGTGGCACAGCCTCCCTGATCACCCAGCTGGTCCCTCAAGGTACACCCCTCGTGTGGACTTTATACCCTTCTGTGGTATTGACTCTTGATTGCTGTTGGTACGGCAATGGGAGGGATTTACTCAGTCTGATCAGCTGCAAGGACTGAGTGTGTCCACTAACCACCGACCTCAGACTACCATGGATGATCAGCTGTGCAGGGGCCCACCACACAGAGCAAGATTTACTTCAGCAGGGCTCTGGTACCCCATGAGTCCATTCCTTGAGTGTGTCACTTGTGGAGTTGGTTGGGTGGTGGTACTTAACCTTGGTCCGAAGCTGTCCACTAGGTGTGCTGGTTCTGGGACAAGGTCAGCCACTGCCTGTGTTCTACCCAGGGCACCAGACATAAGCTACAAAGCGATCTGCCTATGGCGACTTCTAGTGCCGGGCCTGGGGCCACTTAGTGAGAGGCATGGGGTTCACTGAGGCCAGATGCTGCTTGTTTGAGAGAATTTAGGAAAATATGAAGCAGGAGCCAAAACAGGCCAATCCTATGGTAAAGCCACTTGAAACAGCTTGGGTGGGCCCAAAAGTTGAGTGGGGTGCAGACTCAGGCAATCTCCAGGGCAGGGCAAACAGTGTGAACCGGGTTGCTGGAGTCCCAGATATGGCGGCCGTCTGCCTGCCCTGTGGGGGAGGGGCTCACCAAAGGAACATCAGCCTCCACCAGCAAGTCTTACCCTGAGAAAACTGCCTCTCCAGCTCTCGCCCTGATGCCAAACAACTCAGTTCTTCACTGTATGTCTGTGATTCCTTTCAAGCTGCCTCCCCTCCATGCTGGAGCTCAGAGGGAGCGGGTCTGAGTAAGTCCGTGTGCAGGCCCTTTAAGAGGAAGTGCCTGGGACTCCAGCAGCCTCAGCTTCCCTCAGCCTCAGTTTCCACTGGTTTTACAGCCAGAAGTGATGGGGACTTCTCTTCCTGGCACTGGAACCCTGAGCTGGGTGCCTGGTGTGGTACAGAGACCCCTTAGTCCTCAGGGAGGACCTTCCCAGCCGAGTTCTCCCTCCTGATTTGTATCCACCACACATGGGTGTGGGACCAGCCTACCCGCGCCTCCACCCCTTCTACCAGTCTTGATGTGGCTACTTCTTTAATTTAGTAGTTGTAAGACTTCCATTCAGCTTGATTTCAGGAGATTCTGAAGTATGTTTGTTCTGTAGTTTAGTTGTAATTTTGGTGTGGTTGTGGGAGAATGCGAGTACCACGTTTTCAAAAATTTTAATGCCTTTACCCCAGATACCTGCTTTTGTGGAAAGGAGATAATCCAACCACCTCACAAAGTTTATATGATGATTAAATAGAGAATATGTGTACTGGCTCTAATGTACAATATACCCTCTTTCCTTTCTTCTCCAGAACTTTGTTACTTTCCTTTCCCTTGGCTCCTTCCTTTCAGTTTATAAAAATTCTGGGTCACTTTCTTGCATCCTCTTCCATTTATAGCCAAGTTTTTGAAAACCATAGACTGTGCTGGCTGTCTCTGTCTTCACTTCTCATTCATTTGTAAACCTGCAGTAATCCTGCTTCTGTTATCACTAAGGCACTCAGTGTTCAGTAACCACCTAATCGTCAAATTCGGTAGACTCTAGTTAATATTCCTCTGGTAAAAGTGATGTACATTTAGGATTAAAAATTTAAAGATTGAAAAAAAGTAATATATGGGACACACTGGGAAATAATGAATGTTACTCAACAACAACAACATCCAGTTCAAGTTAGCATGTGACACATTCAATTTAGCATGTTAACTTTCTGGAGCCAGGGAACTGAGAAATCAGCCTAAGCCATCTGTGGTTACCCATGGTAGAAAGATAAGTAAGCTGGGAGATTTAATGTGTCAATAATGACAGGACTGGGTAGAAAATATATTTTCTTCTAAATGTTGGTAGAATACTTAGAAAGGCCTATCTGTATTTTTTAGCTATAGATAAATAATAAAGCAGGGGAAAGAAGATGAGCTGGGTGTTTGAGCTCATTTCATGATCCTATCGTTCCTCTGAATAGTGGGTTATTAGGAGTATTCTGTTTAAGAACATTAACCTCCTTGTATCTGCTGGTTTTTCCTGTCATAGGCTTGAACTAAACAACTTGAATTCTATACAACTTGATTTTGATTTTCATGATTTTGTTAACCAGGCTGTTACTACAACTAACTTGGCATAAATATGTAAATGAACTATGACATGAAGAGTCTGAATGTAAATTTAAGTTTGAACTTTATTATACCGGGTTGATTGAGCTTTTGTGATTGCATGTACTAACACAGATTTCCTATTATATTGGCTAAGAGTGTAGATTCTAGAACCAAACTCCTAGGTTTATGCCAGGTTCATCACTTACAAGCTTTGTGATCTTGGACAAATCATTTGGTTTCTCTATGCCTTAGCTCCCTCATTTGTATATGATGATAGTAAGCATTGCCTGGCACAAAGTAAGTACTATATGAATGATTAGCTGTTACTGTGTTCTTGTAAATGGCTTCATTTTTTAAAAACTGTTTTTTAACCTTTCATCAGATTATCGAAAGTATTATTGAGGAGAGTCAGAAAGTACAACAGTTTGAAGATGACTCTTTGGATTCCAAAGGAAAAGGACAGTCTGATCAGGCTACTGCCAGTCCTCTCGTGACTGGAACAGATCTTAGCAATATACCTGGACTATTAGCCATAGATCAAGTACTGCAGGAAGACTCCAAAAAGGCAGAGAGTCAGAATGCATTTGAAGAAACTGAATTAGAATCAAAAAAACATTTTTCTTCTGATGATACCTGTGAGAAGACAGTAGATGAAACCACTAAGTTAACTGAAATAAGTTCAGTTGAGCAGCTCTATGAACCTGAAAATGAAACAGAAGTATTGAACAAGGAAGCAGTGGGAATCAAAGGAAGTGACATTCTTGAGTCTGCATCCTCAGACGCCTCATCTGCTCAAGATGTTGCTACTGTGGAAGAATTGGCTCCTGCCAAACCTCCAAGACAGCTTACTCCAGAACCTGATATAGTGGCTAGTACAAAGAAGCCCGTTCCTGCACGCCCACCCCCTCCAACTAATTTCCCACCTCCTAGACCACCACCTCCATCTCGACCTGCTCCACCACCAAGAAAAAAGAAAAGTGAATTAGAGTTTGAGGCTCTTAAAACACCCGATCTGGATGGCAAGTATTAATTGAGAAATAAGAATTTGGGGGGGAGGAGGGACTTTTAGTTGAACGTGTTTAAATTTCTGACTTTGTTTCAGTTTGTGTTATGTAAACTACGTTGATGGCTGAGTTGTAAAAAATTATTTTAGTAATAAAAAGTGAAAATGTCTACATTGGTGATTAGTTACATTACTATAATTGCATATTTCAGCAGACTTCAAACTTTCAAATTTGTTACCATTGGAGAGCCAGTGTGGCATGGTGAAAAGAATATGGGATTTGAGAATTAAGATTTGAGTTCAAGTCCTAGATTTCTTTTTTTACTTTTTAATTTCTAAATTAAATTTATTAGCACTGGATCTCTTAATGTATAAGTTGTATAGCCTTGAAGAATTTAAATAACTTGTTTGAATCCTAGTTCTCTAGATATAAAACAAGAGCAATAAAAGCACTTTTCGTCACACAATTTTGTATAGGAATTAGACAAATAAAGGTTAAAGCACTTTTCAAGCTATGTATAAAGTTCTGTATAAATATTTATTATCATTATTATTGTTGTTGTTGCAGTTCCCAAAGATAATATTACATCTCATACTCTAACTTCGAACATGGCTTCAGAGAGTATAATCAAGGATTCTCAGCCTTCTCTTGATTTGGCAAGTGCTACCAGTGGAGATAAAATAGTTACTGCCCAGGTTGGTGAATTTGTGTTATATTTGATACAGGCTTTATCAGCTTTCCGCAACTTGCTGGTTTGTTGATTTATCAAACCTTCTTTCTTCTCCAGGCCAGATATTTCCTTATTCTCAAAACCTGGCCTCCTTACATCTCTTGTCCAGCTCTGCTACTGAGTAGCTGAGTAACTCCAGGAAGCTATTTAACATCTGAGTTTCAGATGCCCCGTTGATAAAATAGGGGGAAGCCCTGGCCGGTTTGGCTCAGCGGTTAGAGCGTCGGCCTGCGGTCCTGAGAGACCCGGGTTCGGTTCCGCTAAGGGCGCGTACCTCGGTTGCAGTTTGTCCCCGGCCCTGGTCGGTTGTGCGGGTGGCAGCCACTCGATGTGTCCCTTTCACACTGATGTTTCTCTCTCTCTCTCTGTTCCTCTCTCTCCCTCCCACTCTACCTGAACAAAAAATGGAAAAATGTCCTAGGGTGAGGATAAAATAAAATAAAATAAAATAAAATAAAATAAAATAAAATAGGGGGGAAACCTTCCTTGAAGGTTCCTTGTGAGGATGAAATGAGCTAAAGTGTACTACCTGGCCATGTAGTAGGCATTCAAAAGATGACAGATGCTGCTATTTGTAATATTATTGATATTAATAAACACCAACTACAATCTTCATTTACCTAAACTATAATGGACAAAATTGGGGACTTTTTTTTTTTAATTTTCCTTTCCTAATCATGAAAAAAACTTTATACACTATGCTGTATATATCTGCATGTGAAGTAATGGAAAGGACTTGAGAACAAATTTTACCACAGCCAAATTTTTTTTTTCTAATCCTCACCTGAGGACATTTTTGCATTCATTTTCAGATAGAGCGGGAGGGAGAGAGGGAGGAAAAGAGAGAGAGAGACACATCAACTGGCTGCCACCCACACGACCCCAACGGGGCTGGAGACAAACTGCAACCGAGGTACATGCCCTTAGCGGAAACCGAACCCAAGACTCTCTGATCCATGGGCCAACGCTCTAACCACTGTGCAAAACTGGCCAGGGCACACAGCCAAATTATTGAATTCAGTGGTTCCTTATATGGTAGCGGTGACTGGGGCAGGTTAGCAAACTGGGCGATAAGACAATACATAGTCTTCTCATAGACTTAGAGCAGAGGTTGTCAGTGGCCTGTTTTGTAGGCTTCCCAAGTTAAGAATGGTCTTTACGCCCTGGCCGGTTTAGCTCAGCAGTTAGAGTGTTGACCCTTGTACCAGAGTCATGGGTTCAATTCCAGTCAAGGGCACATACTTCGGTTACAGTTTGCTCCCCAGCCCTGGTCAGGGTTATGTGGGAGGCAGCCAATCAATGTATCTCTCACGTTGATGTTTCTTTCTCTGCCCCCCACCCCACCTGCCCACTGTATCTGAAGATAAATGGAAAAAATATCCTCAGGTGAGGATTAAAAAAAAGAGAGAAAAATGGTCTTTACATTTTTCAAGGGTGTTTTAAAAAAGAATATATGGCCCTGGCCAGTTTTTGCTCAGTGATTAGAGTGTCAGCCCATGGACCAGAGAGTTCCGGGTTCGGTTCCCGCTAAGGGCACGTATGTTGGTTGCAGTTTGTCCCCGCCCTGGTTGGGGTCGTGTGGGTGGCAACTACTCAACATGTCTCTCTCACGTTGATTTTTCTCTCTCTCCCTCCCTCTCTCCCTCCCACTCTATCTGAAGATAAATGCAAAAATATCCTCAGGTGAGGGTAAAAAAAATAAAAAGAAATTAAAGAAAAGAATATATGACAGACACTATTTGTGAAGCAAAAAGCCTTAAATATTTACTAACTAGCTCTTTACAGAAAAAGTTGAAGACCCCTGCTTTTGAGAAATCTACACATATAGCCCTGATTAATGTCAATCTTTGTGCTAGTATTCTACTAGTAGAAAACTGCTTTTGGGTTAGGTTCAAATAGAGCATTTATTTGATTTCAAGACTACTAAGACATTATTGCATGGATAGCAATAGTTTTGGTATCTAATGTTTTTCAGAATGCTGGGAGTAATAAAGGACTGAAATGAAGTGTTCCATTTAAATTTTCAGTAGGCTCTATGAGTGCCCGGCTAGCTCAGTCAGTAGAGCAGGCTCCATTATCTGAATTACAGGATTTTTTTAGAACAGTGTGTGGTAATGAATAATTGAATATTTATAGAAATTGATTCAATCTACTTTCTGTTTATAAAATTATAATTTCAGGAAAATGGAAAAGCACCTGATGGGCAGACAATAGCAAGTGAAGTGATGGGCCCTCAGAGACCTAGATCCAACTCTGGGAGAGAGCTTACTGATGAGGTATAATTATATTTTGTTCTTCTTAAAACCATAAAATATAAAAACCATAATGGGAAGGTGAAAAAGTTCTGGAGATGGATGGTGGTGATGATTGCACAGCAATGTGAACATACTCAATGCCACTGAACTGCACAATTAAAAATTGTTAAAATGGTAAATTTTATATCATATATATATTTTACCATGATTAAATTTTTTTTATTATTTTTAGGCAAAAGAATAACATAATGTAAACGAAAAAATGAAAATGAAGATTTTCTTAGATTTTGTTTTTTTAATATGTTGAAAAACTCTGACTTAAACTTGCCATTTCACACAATTGTATGTTGGGATAAATATATTGAAAGCGAGGCCTATATTTTATAGAAAATGGGCTTAAAAAGAACTTGATATTATAGATATGTTTTTATGCTTGTTAGTTGATGTACAGTTCATACAGACTCAAAACTTCTTATCACTAAAATTAGTATATATATCTATTGGCCAATTTATTCAGAATGATGTTTTAAAGCAAAATCTTTGTTTTTGTTTCTTGTAAACAACATATTTTTTTAAATTACTGTACTTTGGAAAATAGTTCGCCAGTTTTTCAAAATATTAAACATCAAGTTACCATGACACAGAAATTCCACTCCCATTTGTACACCAAAGATAAATGAAAACATTTGTCTGCATAAAAAATATACACAAGTGTTCATAATAGCCAAGGTGTAGAAACAACACAAACATCGGTCACTGATGAATGGGTAAATAAAATGTGGTATATTCATCCATGTGGACTATTTTTCAGCCACTAAAAGGAATTCACTTCTGATACATGGCTACAACATGGATGAACCTTGAAAGCATGGTGCCAAGTGGAAGAAGCCAACCACTAAAGGCCACATACTGTGGTTTAATTTATTTAAAATGTCCAGCATAAGCAAATCCATAGACACAAAAAGTAGATTAATGTTTACCAGGGACTGGAAGGAGAGGGGATTAAGATATGACAGCTAATGGGTGTGGGATTTCTTTTTGGGAGTAGTAAAAATGTTCTGAACTTACATAATGGCGATGGTTGCACAACTCTGAGAATATACTCAAAATCATTGAACTATATACGTTTTAAATGAGTGCATTTTGCAGTGTGTGAATTGTATCTCACTAAAAATGTTAAAAATTATTGTACACAGTACTGAATGTGGCTAAAAAGTCCATAACTTAAATTTTTTAAGATTTTGGAGACACAAAAGGATACTTAAATTGTTAATTCTCTTGGTGTTATTCTTTGCCTCAGGAAATTTTAGCCAGTGTAATGATTAAGAACCTGGATACTGGAGAAGAAATACCTTTGAGTCTTGCAGAAGAGAAACTGCCAACAGGTATTAATCCTCTCACTCTACACATCATGAGAAGGACTAAGGAATATGTAAGGTATGACCTAATTTTATTATTTATCATTTGTAATATTTCATTCAGAGTGGTGAAGATTTCTGTTTATGAACTATGATAGTCCCTAATTTGGTTTCATTCAGCTTTTTTTTTCTTTTAAAAAGGCATTAAAATAGTTAATATATATATTCTTAAACTTTGTTTTCTCTTAGGACTGTACATTTAGCATTTACTAGGGGAAAATGGTATATAACTTCAATCCCATAGTATTTGGTTTCCCTTCTTTTAAAATGATGTATATTATACTAGAGGCAGTGTTAACACATATTGAGGTTAAAAAATCATTCTGAGATGAACATCTGATCTTCTGAAACCTTACTTAAGGATCAGACATTTTATACATAATGTGGAGGGTCAGAAAATGGTTTTAGAGTAAGATGATTGATTTTACTGTAAGTTACATGTAGATCTAAGGAATAATTTCTGTGAAAGCAAAGCTTTTTAAAGTATAATACATGATGTGCCTGGTGAGTGAGGAGGAAGATATTTACAAGTTATTTTGTCATTTCTGTGTAGCATGTTTTGCCCAGCAAAAAGCCTTGTTTGCCGTGAGTTTTTCTTAAGTTCCTAAATTGCATTCACTTGCGTTTTGTACATTGCACCCTGCTTAAAGATTATATTCTTTGATCTTTCAATTCTTTAATTCTCAGAGTCATCACTTGAACTGATATACAACATTTTAACAAGGTTTTTTTACTCTGATTAGCTAATTCTATAGTAAGTATGTATAGAGAGATTTTTGAGAAGTGTTAGGGAAATGGCTTCTTTCTAAATTACTTCCTCCCCTTATAGTAATGACGCGGCACAGTCAGATGATGAAGAGAAGTTACAGTCTCAACCAACAGATACTGATGGTGGAAGGTTAAAACAGAAAACGTGAGTTATAGTACATCACTTTTCATTTCAAGCTTTTTATTTTAAAAATAATAATAAAGAGACTCTGGCCGGTGTGTTTCAGAGGTTAGAGTGTCACTCCACACACCAAAAGGTCACAGGTTCAATTCCTGGGCAAAGGCACATACCTGGGTAGCAGGTTTGATCCCCCATCCCTGTCAGGGTCTCGGTCTCTCTCTCTCTCTCTCTCTCTCTCTCTCTCTCTCTCTCTCTCCCTCCCTCCCTCCCCCCTTCTCTTCCTCCCTCCCTCCTTTCCACTCTCTAAAAATCAATGGAAAAATATCCTCAGGTGAGGATTAACAACAATAAAAATATATATATAAGAACTACTATACTGTTTTAAATGTGTTCTATCCAGTTTATAAGTTCATCTACCACCACCACCACTCTCTGCTGCCGGCCAATGGATTATATCTTTGAGGCTGTGTTGGTTATATAGCATCTGACATATAGTAAATGGTCAATAAATTTTACATCATGCTTATATTATTTTTCTGACAGTCGTTACAAGAAGTGTTAGTAGAAGAACTTGGTTGTCCTTGATATTGCCTTTTCCCTTTCTCTTCAGGTCTTCAAATCCTCTTTGTCTTTCTAAACCCAGCTACATGAAGATTCTTCCTGACTTCCTTCAGTTCATAGTACATTTGTTTTTTTTTCTCAATTTCAGTGACACCTATAGTCTATATAACTAATGTTTGTCCTTTATTTTATATTACCTTAAACTGTTTTCTGATTAAAAAAAAAAAAAACAAGGTAAATAGATATTAAACAACTAAACCATATGTTATAAAAGGACTGTGATCACACTGTTCTTCTGATTCCCCCACAAAAACCTACCACAATGGTGGGCATATAGATTTTGCTTGATTATACACAAGTCACATAATTGGCAATAATTCAGTCTAAAATAAAAACTAAATATCAATATAAAATAAAACAATTCAGGTGCAAACAAATTCTCCACTCAAATCTGATCTTTTTCCTAGTGTGGGAAGTGTGGCAAAGAAAGCTTTGAGAATTTTTAGAAAAGGTGTGTACCCACAATGCAGGCCTAGGATAACACTTTCAAATATCCAGACCTTAGCTGTCTAGCAGTGACAACTATCAGTAACTGGAGAATTAGGAATTGTTTAGGAGACATATAAATAGCCAGGAAAGATACTTTTTATTCCATGCCTTAAAGCTCATCATTTTTCTAAAAGAAAAGCTCCTCATGATTATTCAAAGACATTATACTTCTTACATAATTTTTAAAAATCTGGTCATCTGGTATCTGAATTGACAACGAAATAGAAGCACCAAACTATGACAACATGTAAGTTGACACATAAGAATGTCAGATAATTCCGGCTGGTGTGGCTCAGTGTTTGAGCATTGACCCACGCACCAAGAGGTCACCAGTTCAATTTCTGGTCAGGACACATGCCCAGGTTGTGGGCCTGATCCCCAGTGGGGGGCATGCAGGAGGCAGCCAATCTATGTCCCCTCCCATCGATGTTTCTCTCTCCCTCTCACTCCCTCTCTCTCTAAAATCAATTAAGGGAAAAAAAAGAACGTCAGATAATATTATGATTACAAGAGAGAAATCAGAAAAAAGTAATAAAAGAACTCTTACATAGCACAACCATTTCATATGGCAGTGGTTTCAACTTTTTCTCATGTCATGACACACATAGAACATGGTAATATTTACACTGAATGCTAGAGTAAATTTATTGTCAGAAGATATTAGTTGCGGGTATGGCTTCCCTCTGCCCTGCCCTGTTGTCTTCAAAGCTTGGAACCAGTATTATGGCCCACTTGCAAACCATTTGAAAGGTGCTGAATGTATTAAAGAACAGTAATGATGGTAATAAACCCTATTTATTAAGAAAAGAAATATATCTAACATTCAATGCCATTGAAGAAGGCACAAAGGGTAATTTTAGCCATCTTGTCATCCACAGTGATTAAATTATATATTTCCTTGTTTAAAGTAGTAGTAAACCTATAGTTATCTACAAAATAGAACTTAAGAATTATGGCAACATAGACCTTATAGTGATTTTTACAATGATTTATCATGTGTCTCTTATGATTATCAAAAGTAATCCAAAAATTTATAAACTAGATAATCAAAGTATCTCATTTGTTCACCCCAGAAATTCTCAGTATTAATAATTAGGTGTGTTCTCCATAGAATTATTTTTCTCACAAAAGGGAGATTACACTGTGCCTATAGTTTGTCAACTTGATTTTTTTTATATTATTATTAATTTATTTTTGTTACAGATGTTTCTTCTTTTTTTCCCCATTGACACCCTCCTCCCCATTCCCCCACCCCTTCCCCAACTTTGTTGTCTGTGTCCATCAATTATGCATACATGCATATAAGTTCGGTGGTTTATCTCTTCCCTGCCCCCCACCCCCTTGTCTGAGGGTTGTGAGTCTGTACCCTACTCCACGTCTTTGGGTCTACCCTGTTCCTCAGACTGTTATGTTCATTATATTCCACAAATAAGTGAGATCATGTGATATGTGTCTTTCTCTGCTTGGCTTGTTTTGCTTAAGATAATACTATCCAGTTGCTTCCATGTCATCTCAAAGGATAAGAGATCTTTCTTTCCTAAAGCTGAAGAGTACTCCATTGTGTATATGTACCACTGCTTTTTTATCAATTCATCTACTGATGGACACTTGGGCTGTTTCCAGATCTTAGCTATTGTAAATAATGCTGCTATGAACATGGGGGTACATATATTCTTTCTGATTGGTGTTTCAAGCTTCTTAAGGTATATTCCTAGAAGTGGGATCACTAGGTCAAATTGGAGTTCAATTGTTAACTTTTTGAGGTAACATGATAGTGTTTTCTACAGTGGCTGCACCAGTCTACATTCTCACCAGCAGTGTACTACAGTCCCCTTTTCTCCACACCCTCACCAACACTTGTCGTTTGATGATTTGCTGATGGTGGCCAATCTGACAGGTGTGAGGTGATACCTCATTGTTGTTTTAATTTGCATCTCTCTGATGATTAGTGATGTTGAGTATTTCTTCATATGTTTCTTGGCCATTTGTATGTCCTGTTTGGAGAGGTGTCTCTTTAGGTCCTCTGCCCATTTTTTTTTTTCAATAATTAATTAATTTATTTTTGTTACAGATGTTTCTCCTTATTCCCCCACTGATTCCCTCCTCCCAACCTCCCCGCCCTGTCACCATATTTGTTGCCCATGTCCATTGTTCATGCATACATGCGTATAAGTTCTGTGGTTTATCTCTCCCACACCACCCCCTCTTCTGGGGATTGTCAGTCTGTACCCCACTTCCACGTCTCTGGGACTACCCCATTCCTCAGACTGTTATGTTCATTATATTCCACAAATAAGTGAGATCATATGATACTTGTCTTTCTCTGTTTGGCTTGTGTCACTTAAGATAATACTTTCCAGGTCCCTCCATGTCATCTCAAAGGATAAGAGATCTTTCTTACAGCTGCATAGTACTCCATTTTGTATATGTACCACAGGTTTTTTATCCATTCATCTACTGAGGGACATTGGGGCTGTTTCCAGATTTTAGCTATTGTAAATAGTGCTGCTGCGAAAATGGGGGTACATATATTCTTTCTGATTGGTGTTTCAGGCTTCTTAGGGTATATTCCTAGAAGTGAGATTACTGGGTCAAATGGAAGTTCAATTTTTGACTTTTTGAGGTAGCACCATATTGTTTTCCATAGTGGCTGCACCAGTCTGCATTCCTACCAGCAGTGGATCAGAGTCTCTTTTCTCCACACCCTCGCCAACACTTGTTGTTTGATGATTTGTTGATAGTAGCCATTCTGACAGGTGTGAGGTGATACCTCATTGTTGTTTTAATTTGCATCTCTCTGATGATTAGTGATGTTGAGCATTTCTTCATATGTCTCTTAGCCATTTGTATGTCCTGTTTGGAAAGGTGTCTAGTTCCTCTGCCCATTTTTGAATTGGGTTCTTTGTCTTCCTTTTGTGGAGTTGTATGAGACTCTATATATATTAGAAATTAACCTCTTATCCGATATATCAGTAGCAATTATGCTCTCCCATACAGTGGGTTGCCTTTTCATTTTGATGATTGTATCTTTCGCTGTGAAGAAGCTTTTCAGTTTGATGTAGTCCCATGTGTTCATTTTCTCCTTTGTTTCTATTGCCTTAGGTGACGTATCAGTGAAAATTCTGCTGCGTATAATGTCTGAAATTTTGTTGCCTACAGTTTCTTCTAGGATTTTTATGGATTCATGAGTCACATTTAAGTCTTTCATCCATTTTGAGTTTATTCCTGTGTATGGTGTAAGTTGATGGTCTAGTTTCATATTTTGCATGTAGCTGTTCAATTTTCCCAACATCATTTATTAAAGAGGCTGTCTTTACTCCACTGTATGCTCTTGCCACCTTTGTCAAATATTAATTGAGCATATGGCCTTGGGTCCGTTTCTAGGTTCTCTATTCTGTTCCACTGGTCTATCTGCCTGTTCTTGTGCCAGTACCAGGCTGTTTTGATTACAGTGGCTTTGTAGTATAACCTGAAATCTGGTCATTTGATCCCTCCAACTTTGTTCTACATTTTCAAGATTGCTGTGGCTATTCGAGGTCTTTTTTGTTTCCATATGAACTTTTGAAGTATTTGTTCTAGTTCTGTGAAATATGCCATTGGTATTTTGATGGGGATTGCATTGAATCTGTAGATTCCTTTGGGTAATATGGACATTTTAATGATGTTAATTTTTCCAATCCATGAACAAGGTATGTGCGTCCACTGTTTTATATCTTTCTGTATTTCTTTTTTCAATGTCCTGTAGTTTTCTGCAAATAGGTCCTTTCCTACTTTGGTTAAGTTTATTTCTAGATATCTTAATTTATATGCCACGATGGTAAATGGGATTGTTTTTTTTTAGTTTCTCTTTCTGTGACTTCAGCATTGTTGTATAAGAATGCCATCGATTTTTTAATGTTAATTTTGTTTTGAAT